ACCCGGCGAAGTGGTGATAGAAACTGGGAGCGTGGAGATGGTGACAGGAGTAACCACGCACAAATTCGAGGAGCAACCCGTCAGTTTGGTAGTACTGTTAGAAATGAACTAGACCCACCAGGCAAAATTCATAGTTTTGGAAGCAGTGTACGAAGCAGCAATGAAAGACCTCGGGAAGATCGACCAGAGTTTAGTGCTAAAAAGGAGTCGTCTTCGTATGGTAGCAGGGATATTGTAAGAAGCAATCATGAACGACTGCAGAAAGATGATCGGAAAGCCAATAGCGTCAAAATTGAATCTAAAGTGCAGGATAGAGGATCTAATTTTCGAGGTGATGAAAGACGCTCTCATGAGCGATTACGTGAAGAAAGTGTACAGTCTAGCCATGTTAAAGCCCCCAAAAGTGAAGAGCATACAAGAAAAGATAAGGAAAAAGTACAGAAGACTGGACGATTTGAGCAGCCGATTGGTGATTATCGTAAAGATATCCACAGGCATGCTTATCGTCAACCAGACTCCCAAGATTATGCTCAGACTCGACCAGATTCCCATAGCCATGCCCACATTCGACCAGAACGCCCCAGTCACCATCATAGCCGCGATAAACCCTCTGTTTCCGATAACGCTGTGACGCGAAAGGTTCCAAAAGTTGAGGAGTCTGAACAAGAAGACAAGGTTACCTCAAAGAAAACAAATTTAATGCAGGATCCACTCGAGGGTAAGTGGATTTAGTGAGACCATAAATTTTTGAGAATTACCATTCCTTTTTAGGAGTTTCAAAGCAAGCGAATGTCTGGATGGTAAGTGCGCATTTGTGATAGTAATTCTTTACTCTTTCTTACCCTTTTTGGCTAAATTTGCTGCAGAAAAGTGAGAACATGGAACTTCAACTCGCATATTTAGTATTGATCAGATGTTGATTAATTACTACATTGCTTTGACGACCATAAGGTTTTGCGGTCTGAAAGCATTGATCATTAGAACCGTTCATTGTGTGTATTGGGTACTCTTGATTTAGATTATACGGTAAAACTGTCACTCTTTACTTTAAGCCTTTTGCGGCCTAGGTCGGGCTACGGATGTAGTGTATTGCTTTTAAAAACAATTTGTCACGCCTTCATCGTACATGCGGTAATCGCAACATTGAAGAATAAGAATGAGCTTAAATGAGGTTTTCACACAAGTTGATATCTTGCGAAGCGAGCGGACCTTTGTTTTGCGCATGTTGAATGCTTGTCTGTAAGCACTGACATATCTCAACTCAGAGCAAAGTATTTTAGTTGTTGTAAGAGCCATGAAATTGGCAGAAGTTAGTGTTGGAAGAGGTAGTATCGCTGCCAACAGTTACCAGCATATGCAGTTGCATTGCATCTAGTATTCAGCCTTTCCACCAACTGTGGCTGGTCGCTGTTCATGATGATATCACCATAGATATCAGAATACAGTTGGTGGAAAGGCTCTTACACTCAAAAAAACTTGTAGTGGTGAGCCAAAGCCTTGAGAATGAGGCTCTGGAAAGCCTCATTCTCAAGGCTTTGGCTCATCACTACAAGTTTTTTTGAGCTTTTCGAAGAGCAAAATTCATACCAGGTATCGCAGCTTCCTTTTCGCTGCTAATTGCCTGATTTTGATTTGCTTTTTGAAAAAAAGCTTAAATGGTTTTATGTTATGAAGTTGAGGTTTTGGATATGTTGGAAAAAAACATCAACATGTGATGTACTATTTGAGAGACCTAAAATTTCGAATGGTTCTCATAAATTCTTGTTTTTAAGCCTTCAAAAGAATTTCGAATGACGTTATAGCAGAGAAGCGTCTTGCTGGAACTCCGAAACAAACATGCTCATGCGGTCTAATACACATTCCGTATGCTATGCTTAAGAGTTCACATGTGGTCTTTAATCACAGACTTTAGTTTAGCCGCCCAAAATGGGCATGGTGCAGCGTTCAGTTACGCAAGAATCCAGTCAAGAAGTATGGGGAATAGGGAGCAATGCGATCAGAGTTAAATTGCCGCAATTGTCCAAAAACAGAGCTCCGGGGCCTTTTTAATTGTGTTCATGAACGACTACTTGTTGTTCTTCATAGAAAGCATTGCTGAAAAAAGTGTTTATCGACAAGAGGAATTCATTGAAAGGCGTTGCGATATGCCCGAATCTGTTCTGTCTTACCAATTTGTGGATTCGCCTAGTGGGGGGTCCATTGCCTTGATCTGATGGAAGTCAAACGTCTTAATTTCGACCAAAAATTACTCTTCACTTCTGTCATAATCCGACGACTATAAAATAAGTTTTACATGGATATAATCCCTTTATGCAGGGTTCAGGCGATTATATAATGTTATCCTGCATCATGTTTATCAAACGGCGCGTCATGTATGTCTTGTTATCCAGGGCCGAGCGATTTCATACATCTAAATCCTAGATGTGATGTTCTCGAGGAATGTATCTTAGGGAATCAACGATTCTTGCTATGCTATGAAATAAAAGAGTTATCACAGTCATTTACGCAAGCTTTCCCTTCTCTAATTGCAGTCTAAGTAGTCTTGTTGATTTTTAATTCTCTATCAATTACTCTGATTTAGCCCAACTTTCCTGGACCTTCTGCTCCTCCTGTGACAACTATTCCGCCAAATGTCGCAGTATCTTCTGCCAGTACTACAAATAACAAGGATTTGAATGCTAGTTTCATTTTTATTTGTTTTCACTCTAATTTTCATTTTCGCAATCATTTTAGAGTAATGACCGGATCAAGATAATCGAAGGATTTGCAAAAGAAGCTATAAAACATTTCAAACGGTGGGTGAAATATACCTTCAATTTTTGCGGATTTTCTTTTGATGGAAGTTTTCGAAAGATATGCCAACTTTCTATTATTGTAATGTAATAGGTCTTTCCTCGAAGTTTAAGCTTTAGCGACATCACCGTGGAAGAGTATAAGAATGTAATGCGTGCTGTAGTCCGCGATTGCTATAAGAAAAAAGTGTTGGATGGAGACAAAATAAAGGAAAAGGTGAACGAATGTGTGCGAGCTGTCAAAAATGGGGAGCAGTTGGATATCGGGCGTCACAGCTCAAAAAGACCGGAAACATCTGGCGACAGCTCG